CGCCGCGGGTGTCAGCCTGCGGCTCCGGCCTCATTGCAGCACGGGGCTGAGGTTTTGCCTCTCCTGCCCGGGTGGCTGCACCGATGGAAAAAATCTGGAGGGGGGCCGGAGGACTCATCCGTAATTCCAGTGGCAATTTACTCCTGTTCTCACAGCAGAGCCTAGTGTGGGAAAGCAAGTTATATTCCATCACACCATTCCGCTGCGTACTAAATCGGGGAACAAACTGATTTAGGCGTGCGCACCAAGCCGCGGAACGCTTTGTCCACCACTGCAGCTCTCAAGAGGCAGTAGCCAGCCCTACAGAAACACCGAGCTAAAATGGAGCGTGAAATCCCTGACCAGGTAGAGCCAGTGAACCAGCTTAGTGAAGGGGAGCAGAGGAGACACTTTCTTCATCCTGCAAATGAGCTGTTTGACTGGGGGGGTGGGTTACGGGAGTCTGTAAAAATGGTGGCTGAGACCCCGTCCCTTGCACGTTTCAGTGGGGCTGATGCTTTCTCAGAAGGCCTGGTGTGTTTTGAGGCTGCTTTAAAAACGGAGCCCTGATCCTTTCAGTTTTCAGAAAGTTGCTGCTTTGCTTGGAGCACGTGTTGCACGTACTCATTGGAACATCTGCATTGGCAGCTGCTTCTGTTTAAAAAGACAGGCAGCCGACTCCAGCCAGAGCGCACAAAGCAGTACAAACACAGAAACAGGAAAAAAAAATATGTTTGTTGGGTTGGCATAGCTGCAGAATGCAAACAGCTGTTGAATAGGGACAGTCTGAGTACAGCAGTATAAACAATGATGCATTCATGATTTCTAGTGCGCAAACCCCCTTTCATTTTCGAACAGAGAGGCTTAACGTCATTAAAGTGAGAAACGTGCAATTTTTACAGTTCTGGATTGAGTCACAGCTCTCAGGCTGAGGTTTGGAGGTGCGGGGTGAACACCTTTGCTGTGGCTCCTGGCTTAAAGTGTTGAGGTTGCTGAAGATTTATCAGGGGCTTTGTCTGGGCCCACAAAGTACTGAAGAAATCTACAGTGAAAGTCTGTTTACTTTTCCTTTTTTATTTAGTGAAACTGGCAGCTTTGCAAAAGGAAGTTTCCTGAAATCACCATCTTAGGGAGTACCACTGTTTCCTTGGATTGCTGTCTGCAGTACATCGTTTGAGCATGAGGACTATTCTGCTTGCTTGGTCATTATGAGGGAATTCCTGCTTTGGGGAGAGGGAATGGAAACAAAAGCTCTTTGACCACACTGAAGAATATTCTCAGTGAACAAACAAATAGTAGTAGGCTGAGCCTGGTAGTTCTTTGGGAGGATGCTATTACGAAGCATGGACAATATTAGTTAGCTACAGTGTGGCCCTTCTACTGTGCTTAATTTTTTCTCTTCTAAGATCACACCTTCTTATTTTTATTTTGAAAATCTGAATGCTATAATATCTGTGATTTCTGTTAAAGAGGTGGTTTACTGACAGAAAACAGCAGATGTAGGCCTCGGGATTTTACACAGCCATTTTTAAAATTAAAACCGAAGTCTGCAATGAGGGAGGCTTCTGTATTATCCCAATGGTTTTGTGATGCCCTGGATGTTTCCAGCTGTATATTCCACAGCTGCAGTCCAGCTAAGCAGTACGCACTGCACTGAGTCACTGCGTTTCGTTGTTATCTCAATGCACACGCCACACCATTGCTCAGCACGCATCCTTCGCTTTTTATGGCTCTGCTAAACTGTTCAGTACTGCTCCTTTCTCCCTGACACCTTGACTTCCTGCTGTACCGTGTGCTCCATGGGCCAGGCTCAGGTGTGGCTTCTTCCAGCGACATCTTCAGCAGTATACCGCAGCGTTGCTTCCCATCCACCTAACGTCTTGCAGAACCGTACATAACATTTATACAGCCTCTATCCTTCTGTGAGTTCTTTGCAGGGAAGTAATTATTGCTCAACCTTACACGAGAGAAAATAAGTAACGTCTTAATGTTGCTTTCTGTAACAGAAGCAAAGTTGGGTTTAATTACACACGGTGCCTAAGGAAATGGCGCTGTTGCTTCTAGGTATTTGCTTCTAGGTGTTGCTCAAGGCCTCATGCAAGGTGTGTGGCAGTGGTAGCTCTTCATCTGGCATCCTGCAGGCTCAGAAGGGTTTCCCTGAAGGTTTTACATTCACTGTAGTATAAAATGACCCTAAACCATTTTTTTTTTAAAAGTACAATTTTATAAGACAAGTTTATTCTACCTCTTCTCAAAGTTAGGCAGAATAAATTACTAAAAGCTGCTTGGATCGGGGCTAGAGCGAGAAAACCCATCACAAGGACAGAGATAAATGTAAGCCTTAAAGATCTGTATGTGGCCAGAGAAAAACTGTATAGGAAACCAGACTGCAGCAGATTTTGTGTTTGCCAAGGAAATGTATGAGGAGATAGGTGGAAAGCAGGTATTTAATAAGGGCTTCCAGTTTCCAGAGCTGTGCATAAGCCATTCCTGTTTTGCTTTTTTTACGCTCGATGACTGTGTCAACCAGATGCAGCCCAGCAGTAACTGAAGCTGGCCAGAAAGCCCCCTCCTCCCCCACAGCCTCCCGTTGCTTAACGCCTGTTTGCTCCCC